CAACGTTCCAAAGAATGTTTCGGAATTTGAAAACAGATTGCAATGGGTTTCATAGTGCCTCCAAAATGTTTTGCTTTATATCCTTAACATCAACGTATGGAAATGCTTTTTTTGTCTGTGGCAGAACCAAATCACTTGCGTCGCTTTGGTGTCACTATCCCGCCTGAACAACTGGCTGAAGATTTCAAGCAACTCCGGGGGCTATTATCAACAATTCCTGGCGTTCACAATTTTCTTGTTGGGCCAGATGTAACACAGCCTCGAGGAAATGCAATGGGATATTTACAAAGGTGAGAAATATTGAAATCCAATGCACTCAACTTTCTGAAAAATGGGATCGCTATAGCTAAGAGCAATAATTTTGCCAACCTCTTATTCTCCAATCAGCAAATTTTGTTGCCTTGAAAAATTAGGAATGAGCTAGCACTTGAAGCTGATAATGGTCTCGTACCTAGACCTTCCACAACCAAGTGGTTACATTTCAGTTGTGGTTACACGGTACGATCTGAATACTAGATCAAGCTGATAGATCACTTTTTTGACATTGAACAGGTTTCTTAAGAAAGGCAGCTCTTCCCTCGATGCAGTTACTTGGCATCAGTAAGTGAAAATTATCAAATTAAATCTCTTTTATAAAAGAACTGAGTAAACACTCAAGTCAAGTGAATCACTCTGCCAAAGTTTATCCCGATTTCCGTAGAATGAAACGACTAGGAGTATTACTACTCTCCCCTGGAATGGAATAGTAATCCATCTCGATCAGGTAGCCCTCCCTGACGGTTCACTGGTACCCATTTATACTCGTACAGGCCCGGGTTTTTCGAAAGGGGGAAGATGTTAATCTTGGATTAAAGTTAACCTTGGCTTTTTATTCACATATAGAAGAGCGCGTATAAGACGCCAATTATTGCTTTGTTTTGTCTTTGTTTTATTTCGATATGACTCGAAACTGAGAGGGAAAAGATGGAAAGAAATATATCCCTTTGCAAGGCTATGAAACTGAATTAAAAATTTACACTAGCCACGGGTTAGATTCCTCGTGTTTTAAACAACCTAACCTGCAGGTTAAAAAAAGAAAAATGTGAGAGCAAATTGTCTCTTCCGAGAACAAAACACGTTGACTCAGCCAGTTCTCCGCCTCAGACTTCTCAACCCAGAGTCAAGCATGCGCACTTACAAACAAGACTCTATGTTTCCCACACTAAATTTGGATGTTTGTTTCTAATAGTTACTACGTAAGGGGAGAACATTGTTCCCTTCCACAGTTCTATGTCCCACAAACGTTAGACACATTACTCCGAGACATAAAGGAAGTAGATGAGGTAATCAGTCAGTATGCTCCAGGTCTTCCCAGATGGTTCGGTGAAACTGCGAGTGTCAGCGGAGGGGGTGCAGACGGAATATCTGGCAGATTTGTGGCTGGTTTTATGTGAGTAGACTCGTATAAAATCTTAGGACTTATTGAAGGATCTTAACCACATTAGAAAAGACAAAAATTATATTGAATTTGTGTTGCCATTCTAATTTAAGAAGCAAATCTTTAGTAGATGAGTGCTGAGACACTAGAGACAAATTAAGTATTTTCGTACTCCTGGTAGTTCTATGAACATGAGTCTGTATTCAGTAAGATATTTAGTGCTTGAACTATATGTTGGGAGGGCTCGAAAACCATGATGGTAGCAAAAAATTTCATTTATTCTTGAGTCAGCAAGTCCTGATTGAAACAAATTAAGAGACAACCTAAGATAAATAGCAGTCTACGTGTAATACAACATACCAAATCTTAAAATATTAAAATAAGTTTACCAAAGGAGGATTCCGTTATGGCCATAAAACGCTGAGTGGGAAATAGGCATATTTGTAACTTCTCTCTATTCGTAACTTTTTGAAGCTTGTTTTCTCTTCCGTCAATTCCGTTTTAGGTGGTTGAACAAACTGGGTATGGCGGCTCAACACGGGTATGAGGTCGTTTTAAGGCAAACGATGTTCCAGGGGCACTACGCGTTAGTGGGACTGCAGG